TTGTAATTGCTCTTGCCTGTTTTGGCACCATTTTAACTTTGATTTAAATTTTTTACGCGTGTCTAACATTTCATTATAAATATTGCCGATTTTTGGTTTACCTGCCAATAACCACATCTGAAATTTAAGTCTAGCCTCCCTGTGCGCGCCAGCAACGTATTTATTCCACCCAGTGACATAACCTTTATTTCTTGTACATTTTCTTTTAACATAGGTCTGTGAAGCTGATTCTGACAATATACTAACAATCTCCCTATACAATTTGTCTAATATTAAGTAATGACTTTTATTACTACATGAGTAATCACAGCATTGGTCTAACTCTAGCGGAAATTCGATATTCTTTAGTTTAGAATGACACAATTCATGATATTTATTTATCTGTTCCAACTGCCTATCGCCCCATTTTATACATTTATTTGACTCGCCAATTGGAACATCAATTACAACTTTCTGATTTAATTTGTATAGGTCATTTTAGTTACTTTCATAGCGTAATATCTTATGGAATTTTGCTATGGGGTAATGCGACTGATATTGAAGCTATATTTGTTTTGCAAAAGAGAGCCGTACGGGCGATTTATAATCTAAATTGTAAAGAGTCCCTTAGAGAAAAATTTAAAGAAATAAACATATTAACTTTGGCATCGCAATATATTTATGAAAATGTAATGTATGTACATAAAAACATAAATAGCTTTAATAAGAATAAGGATGTTCATACCTTAAACACTAGGAACAAACATAAGCTTGTAATGCCACTTACAAGACTCCACAGAATTAGTAATTCATTTATGGGGCAATGTATACGCTTTTACAACAGAATCCCAGAACATGTTCAAAGTTTGTCAATAAACAAGTTTAAAAGTTTTATTAAAGAAAAACTGTACAAAAAGGGTTTTTATAATATCAAGGAATACATGAATGAAAATAACCCCTGGGAGTAAGGTGATCGCCACCATGCTGGTTCTATGAAAATTCATTTAAAATTGTATAAACAAAATTATTGTTAAGTGAAATTATGTTTAAAAAAAAGTCCCGCTGGGTTTCTTGCTGGTTCTTCCCAGGACAGAGGTATTTTCCGAACCAGTGGTAAATAAAATAATGACTTTCAATAAGTATTATGTAATAATCCATATTGAATAAAATCATTCTATTCTATTCTATTCTATTGACAAATGGCAAAATAAAATTACACTTTAGAACGCAAGCCGAGAATTTATTTTCTTGTTGTGTGGGCAAGTCTATCGATTCATTATAAGCATTGAAGATAAATATCGACATTAATTTTGATATAGTTGAATCAATCCCTAGCGTACAAGTAAAATATTTTGTATAAATATGTATTTACCAAATTCATGCATATTATCAACAACGTGAGTTGTTTTTTTTTTTGCAAAATAATAAAATAATTGAAAACATTCTATATTTTAAACAGCATATAACATAAATTTTAACCAAAAATAAACGCGTCATAACATTGATGACGTCTTGAGAATTTTCCTGTGAAATGTGCAAATATCAGGGTTATTTCTAATAACACCACAGTCACTCACGGAACAAGTAACCATTTTGGAAAAAAGTTACTTGCTAAAAATAATCAATATTACACTCTAAAAATAATAAAATATCTAGGAGCTATTTCTTGCGTGCCACTTGTGCTGACCTGTAATTTAAAATCGGTTACAGTCATGAGATTTGGTATCTCTTTCTATCCTGCATTTTTGCCATAAGGAATTTTCTTCTCCCTTGCACACTATGTTAGTCTATACGCCAGTATATTCTAAGTCTATGGCCAAAGCCAATTCTCGCTGTTATTTTTTAATACCTGTCAAAGTTTTGTTGAATTCTTCCATCGTGCTGAATTTAGTAAATGTTCCTGACGGGTTTTACTGCGGAAAATTTGTAATATTTTATATGAATATTAATTCCTTGGATAATCCTAATATTTTTAAAGTAAAATAACTGACTTTGTATTATTGAATAAACTTTATGAAATCGTATATTTTAGGTTGGTTTCTTGATGTTTTTTGACACTAGTTCATGACATTTTTATAACGTCTGTAAAATGTAAACCGCCTAATGACGTAGATATTTAACAGCAATTCTGCCGCGTGGCTCTACGCGGCAGAATTGCTGTCGCACGGATGGGCCGGCTCGAACCGGGGTGGTACCACGACCTCACAGAATACCAGCGTGAAGTAGAGGTTTACCTCTGCGTTTCGCTTGGTGAGTGCAGGTTGCCGGAGGCCCTTTATACTGGCAATGAGGCCTTCCATCTTAGTCCTCACGGGTGACAACGCATCTGCGTTTTGATTCGCAAATGAGGATAGATGTAGATGTCTATGGGTCACAGCAACCACTTACCATCAGGTGGACTGTGTGCTCGTTTGTCAACCTTATCCCATAAAAAAAAGATGCAGGCGCTATTGCATAAAAAATTACCTACCATATTTTACAACCCCCAATTGAATTTTTGTATGACTTGTTTTGTCAGAGTCGTAGCTTATTTTCTACCAACTTCAAAAAGGAGACGGTACTCAATTCGACTGTCTGTTTTTTTTAAGCGTGTTACCTCATAAATTTTTTCTGGGTGAACGGATTTCGATGATTCTTTTATATATATTTATAATTATAAATTTGATCAAGGTATGACCATTAGTTTTTGAGTTACTCTTAATAATTTATATTTAAGTCGGTTGTACAAAATTTTTAATTTTAAATTCCTGATCGCGTAGAAGGTTATTTATGTTTTTCCATGCCTATTTCAACCGTGAAGCATTAACAGACACAGTCACATTAGAAGAAGTCCTTTTTTGTTGTTTTGATTAAACTCGAACGATAGTGTGTTCTTACTGTGTATGTATGGAGTGTAGAGTACAAGGAGAACCATCTTATAAAAGGCGAAAGTTGAAAAAGTGTCCTACTATTTACTGAAAATAGAGGTTCCAAATCCTACCACAATAGCGCTGGCGTCTGAAAAACTACTATATGAAGATAGCTGTTGTGAACGGAGTGAAGTCAGCTGAATTCAAATATTTAAAAAAATCATGATTAGAGTAGTTAGTAAAATGCCAGTATACAAAATCTCAACTATTTACGTAGTACAAAACCAAACGGATTGGTCGGTCCTTGTTTATTTCTCCATCTTATTCTAATTACTTTTGGCGCTTTTTTTTTAAATTTGTCCTATGCTACTGCAGCGCCACCCTTATTGGACACGTTTTTAGGGACACTTTTTATATATAGAGATGGTCCTCCTTCTACTCTACACTCCATATGTGTATGCTACGTCCAGCACCGCAGGCTTGAGCGGACGTAGAGCTGGGATGAATAGTGAATAAGGCGCTTAAGGAAGTCTCTTCTTAAAAAGTAGGGCTTATATACTCTTTGTTTATTGTCAGTTGCCACTTGTCAATGTCATTCCCCCTTTAGGAATATATATGTTCTGTGCATTGGCCACTGAAAAAGAGACTGAAAAAGTTCTTAGTTCTAAGTTTCTATATAGTTTGTGGCACAGAACACTAAAAGGCTTATTACATTACACGATTTCTCGGGCCCTGCCCGCAGGGACAGGGTAGTGTAATAAGAAACAGGGAGTCAGGGTCCCTAAACAGGGCGACCGAGTGGTTCCGACCGCCCTGCTTCCCTGCCGCGCTGTGGATCGTGTAGTGTAATAAGAGACAGGGAGGCAGGGAGCTCAGTTGCGTGGCCGCATGCGCAAGTTTACACGTCTGTTTATTTAAAGTTCTAGTATGTCGATCTACTCTCGAAATCATTGTTCGTAAAGCTATGTCATGCGCTAAAGAAAAAGATGTCCTTCTCAATGTCATCGACATGCTACAAAGAAATGCCTTATCAAATCTTGATAGGAGTTTCCAGTGACCAAAATCGTAAAGTGACAACCAATCTGTCTTAAAAAAGTATTCTTTTGAATAAAACCTCTTTTACGGATTCTATCGCGTTTAATTTTTTTTTATTAATTCCCGAAGTTTCGGGTGCTTTACCACCCATGGTCACGGGGGACTGGTTGCTGTAAAGCGTCCGAAACGTCGGGAATTAATTAAAAAAAAATTAAACGTGATAGAATCCGTACAAGTAGTTTTATTCAATGTGTAGTGTTCGCGTAAATATAAGAAATCATTAAAGTATTTTTTTTTCTATTGAAGGCGTTACTAAGCTTAACTCGTCGAATTGGTTTTCACCTACTCTTTAAAATAGTTTCGCAGGTCTGTTGGGTCCAAAACGCTGACTATTTGCATATTCGATAGTTTTTCTCTGAGGAGCAAATATTTTTTCATCCACATTAAACTTTCCTACCTTTTTTTAGCTTGGCCTTGCACGTTACCGCCAGCCAAAGTTTTTTTTATAGGATAGGGTGACAAACGAGCACACAGTCCACCCGATGGTAAGTGGTTGTTGTGGCCCATAGACACCTACATTTATCCTCGTATGCGAATCAAAATGCAGATGCGTTGTCACCCGTGAGGACTGAGATGGAATGCCTCTTTTCCAATAAAAAGGGTCTCCGGTTCTCTACACTCACCATACGAAACACAGCAGTGTTAAGCTGCTATTTTACGCTGGTATTCTGTGAGAGCGTGGTCCTTCCCCGGTCGAGCAGACCCATTCGTGTTACAACTATACTACTAATATAGCTGTAGTATGGCTCTACCACGTAAAAAAAACAATAAAGCAATTTTTTGACGTTTACATAAAGTCTGCGCCATAATGCTAGACGTGCAATCATTTCCACGTTCGAGTAACAACTGAGGCAGGAAGCGATTTCTAGCGTAGTGTAATAAGCAGCGCCCTGTCTGGTAGGCAGGGCACACGATAGACAGGGCGCGATAAATCGTGTAATGTAATAAGCCTTTAAGTTTGTGGTTCTAACCACTAACAAGAAAAAGGGAAATACATAACCTCTTTCTTTTTTATTCTTACTTTGTCCTAAATTTCATTAGTTAAATTAATCACATTCTATTTATTTCGAAATTACAATGTTTATAAAATCAGTGAAAAATCCGCCCGTATTATGTTTACGCTTCTTGGTATCAAGCAGATCGATTCACGCAACTCGTGGTAAAAAGAAAAGATTTCAATAAGTAATATAACGTTTTACAAAATTGTGTCTATATTTTTTAATTCGTTCCCTTTTCAGTCCTTAAGCTTTACTCACCGGCTGCACTCGGGATTGACGGTTATCTTCAATCACGTAAGAGAATAAAGGATCAGTTTTCAAATTTTTCTGATAAATTTAGGTCCAAAATGAAGGATTTTGTTTTCGAACCAAAGAATATGATATTTACAGAAGATTTAAAAAATATGGTGCACATGGCAGAGCCCGCTGATTTAGATCTTGTTTTAAATATGATTAAAAAGTAAGTTATTTAATTGACTATTGCCCAGTATAAAACTTTTTTAACATTTATTATAAAAATTAAGTTCATGTTATCCATTTATAAAACAAAAAGCATTGTTGCTGTAATTATTGTTAGAGGTAATCAAGGCTCACTGATTCTTACTTTTGTTAACTTATCATCATCATCATGAAGCATGAAGATCCAACTGCCTTACTGTATAAACCATAGGCTGATTAAAAAGTGTTTTATATGTGGTTGAGCCATGCTGTAGCTATATTATAGTTTTAGAATGTATGGGCTGGCTAGACTGTTCTCTCAGAATACCTGTGTAAAATAGCGGCTCAATGCTGCTTTGTTTCACATGGTGAGTGTAGAGAACCATGTGTTTGGTATAACGCCTTATATCCTGAGGGGAAAGAACACATCTTCATTTTGATTCTTAACCCTAGAACTGCTGAATCACCCTGTGGTAACTGGTAGATAATTTTTTTTAACAAGTAGCAATACAGCTTTGTTATTTTTGCATGCCTTATAGTCTGACAGCTGGTGACGAATTTTGGGAAGGTTCTTTGGGCAAGTTGAAATTGTGAAAAAATATAATTTAGTCAATTGGGGAATCCAGTCCTGTGAGTCTGGCAGAGCGTTTGCGGTTATTTTGTTACTGCGCAACATACGTTTGCAAAAAAAAATTCCAAAAAAATGTTTTTTTGGCAACTTGATTTCTTTTTTTATCTTTTAATTTAGTTTTTATATAATTCTAAAAAATAATCCCAGACGTTTTTGTCGTTATAAAGTATTACCAGACCTCTCCAAAAAAATTTTTTGAAGTTCCCAAAACATATACTTTTGGCAATCTCAAATTTTAATCATGTATTTATTGAGTAATTTTTAACAATACCTGCGAATCGCCAGACGAATTTAGCGGTTTTAAAAAATTCCCAGATGTGAATAAAGTTCGGCTAAACAAATTTCTATTTAGTTTAGAGGCTTGGTTTTTGTTTTTTTTTAATAAAGGTGTACTAGAACATATTGTGTCTTTCACTAATACTGAAATTACAAGTACAGATTGCAAAACAAGTTAATATTCCAAGTAATGCCTACTTTGACCAACAATATCCTCCAAATGTTATAAAGCATACTCAAAATGCCCAATGAACCTGATGGACAGGCTCCTAGTGTCATTAAACAAAGACGTTATAGATTCTGACCTTATTCAAAAGACAGAAACAGTAAGACCTTTTGCAACAAGTGCAAAATGCCTATCTGTGAGGTGCATCAGAAATAAACGTTAGGTTTAAATATGTTAAAAGTGTTTACTATTACTATTTTCCTATTAAGTTCTTTTCTAAAAGAACCAATAAACACATTTATTTATATTGAAAACTGCATTTTTAGTATAATTCTTAAAAATATGTCTCATTACATAACAGGGTGCTTGTACACCCTGGGTAGGAAAAGTCAATGTAAAATATATGGGTCGAGTTCTAGGGTTAATGGAGGATAGATGGAGATGTCTATGGGCTACTGCACCCACTTACCATCAAGTGGGCTGTGTACTCGCTTGTCGCTCTTATTCTATAAAAAATGTTCATAGTGCTTTACAAATCTTTGGAATTCGTTATATACCTATATTTTGTACTTTGGCTTCTCTTTTCTTCTTAGGAAACATGATTTTTATCTATGTAATAAAATATTATATCTGTATTTATTCTTTCAGGTTTAATAGTCAAAACAATGAATTTAGATTTGGTTCTTTTATATTTGGTCCAGTAGTTATGAGAATGTTTCATTTCCTTGATGCTCCCAATGAAGCATTAAAGGTAATCATTGATTTTTTGATACATTACAAGAATGGTATTGCTTAGTATTCTGTGGCATGAGGATGTGAGGGGGACTGAAGGTGAGGTAAAGGGATAACCATCTCCCCGCGCTTCCCCCTCTTTATGGGCATTTATGAAAATTTCATATTAAAAAACAATTATGGGTGTTAACTTTAGAAACAAAATAAGTCACCTTGATAGGCAGTTGAGGGGGGGGGGGAGCTGTCACCACTCAATTGAAATAATGTAATAATATACAGTGTGAATTATTTAAGTATTATATTAGGTCTTTTATATACGCATTTTTTAATAAAATAATTGATGGAAAATTGAAATAAAAAATATTATTAAAACTTATTAATACAATATTTGCCTAAACTATTTTAATATGGCGCAAATATGAGTCTCTGAGAGATGACTACATATTCGTGCCACTTGCTGTAGAGACTATCGGTCCGTGGGGTCCACGTGCGGTGAAGTTCCTAAAGGAACTCCATCCGCGGCTGGTCGTTGCTGCTGGTGATAAGAGGGCTGGTTCTTTCCTCGCTCAAAGGCTAAGTATAGCCATTCAGCGGGGAAACGCAGCCAGCGTTCTTGGCACGATACCGTGGGGAGTCGGACTATATGATAATTAAGTTTCTAGTTTTATTTTTTTTTTATTATCATAGTTTTTAATATTGTAGATAAAATTTAAGTATTAAGTATGTATAATATTTTAATACTAATACTTACATATTAAATATTTTAATACTAAAACTATATTTCCTAATTTCTTTTACATTTATTTCAGTGTTTTGAAGATCCAGATAATAATAGTTTCTTTGACCAACAAGTATCCTATCAGATATTGCTTGATTTATTATACAATCATGAAATGTATGAAGAAATGTATAGAGTGTTCGAAAAAGTACAAGAAAAACAGTTAAATATGACAAAGTTTCCTAAATATCCTCTCATTCTAATCCTAGCAGCTTGCTATAAACAAGTGAGTTATATTATGTTCAATTATTTGCAATGCTTACTTATTAGTTCTGATAGCAGCTTCGTATAGAGCAATATTGCTACGATCACTGTGTCAATGTATGTGTATGCATCACACTGCAGCACACTGACGACTTCTACGTCATATGTCGAAAACGCATAGCATTCCTGCTAGTCGTATCTCCTGATACAATGTGACGGACAGTTAATAATTTAATAATTCTTTGGATATATAAATTTTTTGTCCATATGTATGTGACTGAACTCCTAAATGGCTAGATCAATTTTGATGACACTTTGTGTGTGTGATTAAATTGATGCGAGAAACAATTGGACCTAGTAGTTGGCACTCATGTCGAGATCCAAAAATCACCCATGCGAAGCCAGGATCGCTAGTATAATTTAGTTTTACAAGCGATTAAGTAAGTTTTACTAAAAATCAATAGATTTTAGTAGTCTGATGGAATAAATAAATTACTTACATATTATTACTTATGCTGTACTTGATGGGTCAGTGATTGCAGTGTATATCAATCACCAAACGTTATGAATACTACATTTTTACTTTGGTCCATAACTAACTTTTAAATGAATTAGCTAGTTGGATGGCATTGGCAATTTTAGATGTTTTAAGGACTTGCTTGTTACCTGCACCTCTTTTGTTTTAGAACACACCAAAAAGTATGGAGTATGCTTCAAAAATATGGTCTGAAATGGCAAGTGTGGGAACAATACCTGTCAGAAGAGCTGCCACATTTTTTGCTGGTATGCTGGTGCAGCTGCACAACAATTGGCATATTATAATGGTTTTTGTTATCTGAATGATCATGAAAAATATTTTTTTTTCAGCACTTGCTTTAAAGCAGGGTGCACCCCATGCAGCATTGGAATCATTATCAATGCAAAAGCAACATTATGTGACTGTTAGAAATATTAAGGTAATTTTAATAATCTTTATAACCATAAGACATTCAGCTATTTCATAACTATTGGTACTATTGACAAGAATATTGTTGATAAATAATATTAAAAAACTTTTTTAAATATATAAAAACTATTAAATCACAACTAGGTTTCATCAGTGTGTTAAAAAGAATAAAAATATTGATTTGTTTTGTTTGATAAAAAATATATCTTAATGTTATAGTTTAAATTAATATCAAATATCCTATAAAATAAAAATCTTTATTAGTAAAATACTTGAATGATGAAGAGCGTCAAAAACTTCATGTTTTAGGGTTTTTTCAAGTAAAATATCGTAACGACGTGACCGTGTGAAAATTACGGTTTTAAAAAGATAAAATCTCTATTTAGTGCACTAAAGATTAAACTTATATTTTTAGTGACGGGTTTTCATAGCGAAGATAATCCCTGCATAGCATTTTACGAAAATATAAGTCAGTATTTCATGTCGAATACAAGCATTATAATGTCCTTTTGAATGAGTTACTGAGGGCTGGGAAGATCTGGCCGGTGTGAAAGCTGGGGTCATCGTAACAGTGGATTTCGAGTCCAAGTTAGTGCAGGGGTTATTATAAGAAGCGGGAATGGGATCCATGTTCAGGCCGTGGTCAATAGGGTGACAAGAATTATCGGAGTCCATTTTGAAACTTATTTGTTGCTTAGATAACAAATCCGCGAGAAACAGACAAAATAACACAAAAGCAATGGAATTCGACTTGTGACTATTTAGTTTTGATAATTATGACATGGGCCTAGCTGTCAGATTCGATGTTGCCACTTAACAGGCATAAAATCTATAAATCAATATCGATTTTTTATTCGATTTGTAATTTCATAAAAAAGAATAATCTTTGATTAGCTTTAAGTTCTGCAAGCCTTTTAAAATATGTTTTGTTTTATTTATTTAAATTCCATTTTAAAAGTATTTTTAAGAACAGATGAAACCAACAGTTAAATTGTGCAGTAGTGGTGTTGTTATGTTCTAAAGAATTCATGGTAAATCAACTAGCAATTAGCTTGTTTAGTTACCATAATCTCTCTAACTCTATCTAATAAATATAGATTGAAAAAATAGAATTGATTTTTTTAAAGAGAGTTGTAACTGGCAACATTTTATTTTATCTACAAACTAATGAATTGTGTATTTACCTAATTTCATTATTATCTTTTCGGTACCCTTTTCTTGTGCAAAAATATTGCAATCTTTTTTGTATACATGAATACCGCGATTAATAACCATAAAAATATGTATTTTTTAACAAATGCAAATTGTTGGGCATTTCATGGCCAGAATTGGGCATTTCCATTTGTCTCACTTAAAGAGGTGTCTCAGATATCGATGTATAAATAAATATCTGTATCATTTACAGAGGGTTCCATTAACAAAGGTGATGATAGAGGTTATTTCAGTTATAGAGGTGCGATTATTAAATTTATATACATATACGTATTAAATTAAATTAATTTAAATATATTAAACTTAACCAAGTTTTACTGTATTTAGTCTCGAAGTGCAACAGAACCTAAATTAGGAAAATATTGCGGTTTAATATTAAAAACTGTCATTCATAAATATCTAACGCCTACTATTTTACTACGCACGCACACATTCATAAACATCGATCTAAATGGCAAAAACATTGTGAATTGTATCGCACACAGAGGAGTGCGCGTACGCGTAGTTGTTGCCCATAAATCACATTCTATTTAGAATAATCTATACAAATAAATAAAATTGAAGTGTCTGTTTGTAATGTCAAAATTACAGTTTTTTACTAAATGCATTTGAAAGTAAATACGGTACTTATAACTAAAATACAATTTTAAAAATTTTTGTCTGTCTGTCTGTTTGTTCCGGCTAATATCCGAAACGACTGAACCGATTTTGACGGGACTTACTAGCAGATAGCTTATTTCATAAGGAGTAACTTTTATTTTAGAAAAAGAAGTCGCGGGAACAGCTAGCTAGTTTCAAATAAAAGTAGAAGCCTTTTTTACTCGTATTTAAAAAAAAAAAACTAATAACGCTGATCATTATTTATATATTTGAACTTAAAGTTTAAAATTTGGCTACTCTGCAAAATAACCCTGCATAGTCTATTATAAAATCTCTATTAGCTACTGACTAGAATGACGTTTCTAATCAAACATCATTATTGTAATGATCATATTTTTTTACAATTACAGGCCATTGCTTTAGCAGATATGGGAAGAGTAGACGATGCTTTACCAGTACTGAGGGCTGTCATGGATAACGACACACCAGAACAAAAAGGAAAACACACGTTCTTTGAAGAAACAGTAAGGATTATAACGATAAAAATTATCGAATTATTAAGTATTTGATATAATTATTAGCTGATCAGCGACCATATTTTTTAGATTTCTAAAGTGCGGAATGCTGTAGAAAAAGCAGGTAATAAAGATATTCAAAAGGAGTTTGAAAATATCGAGAAGGCACTGAGAGATCGTGACCTTATTGATTCACAGGTGATTTTTTTCTAATATTTATTACACTTAATACAAAAATTATTGCCCTATTGATTTATTATTATTTTTTATTTTTATATAATATAAATTTTTATTTTAGACTTTAGATCAGTTGCTGACTTCGGAAATCACTTTTGTTAAAAAGACGAACGAGACACCAAGAGGCATGCCGCGACTTCCATACGGCCAGCGGCAAAGAAGAAGGAGTGTCGAAGAAACAGTGTGATTGTTGATTAAAAATAAATTTTCTTGTTTGTTAAGTATTCAGTAATAAATAGTATTAGATGAAACAGTTTTTGCTCATTTTTTCTTTTTATACTCTTTTTATAAAAAATCGCTCTTTTCTGATAGGTATGCTAGTACCTTGTACTTTAAAATTTGAAGTAATGTCATACTAAACATAACTTGTCGTGAAGCGACAATAAAAAAAAATATAGAACCTAACCTAAGTACAACAAAACAACAAAAGTAGAGCCAGAAAACAATATATTTAAATTTATAAAAGGTATTTACAATTTTATAAAAAAAATGGAATGAGGATGATGATGAATGAGGTGAGAGTACAATTAGATTATAAAAAAAAAAAATAAAGGGGAGAGAATAGGGGAATATAGTGTTGTAGTGGGGCCTAAAAGTCGATGCGACACGTTGCGTTTGTAGAAGTAGGTTTCTTAGCAGCGACGGCACGTAGCGCCTGAAGCCAGCACACGCCGTTTGTGCTTGTAGAGGTAGGTTTTCTTAGCAGCGACGGCGCGCAGCGCTTGGAGCCAGTACACGCAGCGTCCGGAGCCGGCGCACGTAGCGCCTGGAGAAGGGGCGCGCAACGCTTAGAGCCAGCAGTTGCAGCGCCCAAAGGTAGCGCCGGCGGTAGGTGCACTCGGCGCCTGGAGTAAGTAGTAGAAGTGCCCGGAGTAGTGTGGCCCCCGCGCTTGTAGTAGACTCGAAGCGACTTCCGAGGTAGATGGAGGCTTGTAGGATTCCGGAGTGGCGCGGCCCGAGTTTTAAGAAGGCTTCGCCGAAGACTTCACGTGTAAATGGAGGCTTGCAGGATCCCGGGGCAGTGCGGCCCCGGGATAAGGCCTTTAGGAGATACTTCCAATTTGCGAACTGAAGCGAGACTGCCTTTCTTCACCGATTGTTCGGCTTTTATACCTTTCTAGAGAGAACGGAAAAATTATTTAAATTATACGCAAATTTTTTGTAAATGGTCAAGAGAAAAGAGGATTTATGTGAAATTATCGAAATAGGAATAACAGATCGGTAGCAAATTTGAATATAATTACCATGGAAACGATATAAATAAGAAAGACAAAACATGTCAAATTTTTGTTTTTGGTTAATAATAAGAAAACTATAAGATTTAAGTGGAAAATGAGATATTATTGATATAGGAAAAAAGGTAGCGCAACTGCCCACACAAAGTCCAAGATTGTAGAGTTACGGAAAACTAGCTAAAAGATCGAAAAAAGGTAGACTCCATTGACACCAATTTAAAAGTGCTGATAATGTGAAAATACGAAGTAGAAATGATTTGTTATTGCGTTCTTATGGTTTAAAATCGTTACAGGATCCTATGGAAATAAAGGTGATGTAAAATATCCAGTTTTGAGGTGAATGCAGAAAATCGAAACGGAATGGAAAAATGAATTTAAAATAATGTAAAATGATATATGTAAGTAGCATAACACTACATTTTCCCCAAATGTCGTGAAGCGACAATTAAAAAAAATAAATAGAACCTAACCTAAGTACAACAAAACAACAAAAGTAGAGCCAGAAAACAATATATTTAAATTTATAAAAGGTATTTACAATTTTATAAAAAAAATGGAATGAGGATGATGATGAATGAGGTGAGAGTACAATTAGATTATAAAAAAAAAAATAAAGGGGAGAGAATAGGGGAATATAGTGTTGTAGTGGGGCCTAAAAGTCGATGCGACACACGTTGCGTTTGTAGAAGTAGGTTTCTTAGCAGCGACGGCACGTAGCGCCTGAAGCCAGCACACGCCGTTTGTGCTTGTAGAGGTAGGTTTTCTTAGCAGCGACGGCGCGCAGCGCTTGGAGCCAGTACACGCAGCGTCCGGAGCCGGCGCACGTAGCGCCTGGAGAAGGGGCGCGCAACGCTTAGAGCCAGCAGTTGCAGCGCCCAAAGGTAGCGCCGGCGGTAGGTGCACTCGGCGCCTGGAGTAAGTAGTAGAAGTGCCCGGAGTAGTGTGGCCCCCGCGCTTGTAGTAGACTCGAAGCGACTTCCGAGGTAGATGGAGGCTTGTAGGATTCCGGAGTGGCGCGGCCCGAGTTTTAAGAAGGCTTCGCCGAAGACTTCACGTGTAAATGGAGGCTTGCAGGATCCCGGGGCAGTGCGGCCCCGGGATAAGGCCTTTAGGAGATACTTCCAATTTGCGAACTGAAGCGAGACTGCCTTTCTTCACCGATTGTTCGGCTTTTATACCTTTCTAGAGAGAACGGAAAAATTATTTAAATTATACGCAAATTTTTTGTAAATGGTCAAGAGAAAAGAGGATTTATGTGAAATTATCGAAATAGGAATAACAGATCGGTAGCAAATTTGAATATAATTACCATGGAAACGATATAAATAAGAAAGACAAAACATGTCAAATTTTTGTTTTTGGTTAATAATAAGAAAACTATAAGATTTAAGTGGAAAATGAGATATTATTGATACAGGAAAAAAGGTAGCGCAACTGCCCACACAAAGTCCAAGATTGTAGAGTTACGGAAAACTAGCTAAAAGATCGAAAAAAGGTAGACTCCATTGACACCAATTTAAAAGTGCTGATAATGTGAAAATACGAAGTAGAAATGATTTGTTATTGCGTTCTTATGGTTTAAAATCGTTACAGGATCCTATGGAAATAAAGGTGATGTAAAATATCCAGTTTTGAGGTGAATGCAGAAAATCGAAACGGAATGGAAAAATGAATTTAAAATAATGTAAAATGATATATGTAAGTAGCATAACACTACATTTTCCCCAAATGTCGTGAAGCGACAATTAAAAAAAATAAATAGAACCTAACCTAAGTACAACAAAACAACAAAAGTAGAGCCAGAAAACAATATATTTAAATTTATAAAAGGTATTTACAATTTTATAAAAAAAATGGAATGAGGATGATGATGAATGAGGTGAGAGTACAATTAGATTATAAAAAAAAAATAAAGGGGAGAGAATAGGGGAATATAGTGTTGTAGTGGGGCCTAAAAGTCGATGCGACACACGTTGCGTTTGTAGAAGTAGGTTTCTTAGCAGCGACGGCACGTAGCGCCTGAAGCCAGCACACGCCGTTTGTGCTTGTAGAGGTAGGTTTTCTTAGCAGCGACGGCGCGCAGCGCTTGGAGCCAGTACACGCAGCGTCCGGAGCCGGCGCACGTAGCGCCTGGAGAAGGGGCGCGCAACGCTTAGAGCCAGCAGTTGCAGCGCCCAAAGGTAGCGCTGGCGGTAGGTGCACTCGGCGCCTGGAGTAAGTAGTAGAAGTGCCCGGAGTAGTGTGGCCCCCGCGCTTGTAGTAGACTCGAAGCGACTTCCGAGGTAGATGGAGGCTTGTAGGATTCCGGAGTGGCGCGGCCCGAGTTTTAAGAAGGCTTCGCCGAAGACTTCACGTGTAAATGGAGGCTTGCAGGATCCCGGGGCAGTGCGGCCCCGGGATAAGGCCTTTAGGAGATACTTCCAATTTGCGAACTGAAGCGAGACTGCCTTTCTTCACCGATTGTTCGGCTTTTATACCTTTCTAGAGAGAACGGAAAAATTATTTAAATTATACGCAAATTTTTTGTAAATGGTCAAGAGAAAAGAGGATTTATGTGAAATTATCGAAATAGGAATAACAGATCGGTAGCAAATTTGAATATAATTACCATGGAAACGATATAAATAAGAAAGACAAAACATGTCAAATTTTTGTTTTTGGTTAATAATAAGAAAACTATAAGATTTAAGTGGAAAATGAGATATTATTGATATAGGAAAAAAGGTAGCGCAACTGCCCACACAAAGTCCAAGATTGTAGAGTTACGGAAAACTAGCTAAAAGATCGAAAAAAGGTAGACTCCATTGACACCAATTTAAAAGTGCTGATAATGTGAAAATACGAAGTAGAAATGATTTGTTATTGCGTTCTTATGGTTTAAAATCGTTACAGGATCCTATGGAAATAAAGGTGATGTAAAATATCCAGTTTTGAGGTGAATGCAGAAAATCGAAACGGAATGGAAAAATGAATTTAAAATAATGTAAAATGATATATGTAAGTAGCATAACACTACAAACTTTAAAACAATGATTTAAAAAATTTATTGTTCATTTTGTCTTCGCTGCTTCTTCCCTTAGAAAAGTTGAGAACCAATGTTTATTTCGAATGTTAGATGTATCGATACGTTAGAGCTAAAGTCTGTTTCTATGGCAGGCGGAAAACTGAACAAAGAACAAAGAGGATCCCCTTGGCTGGCCCGTGGTGTAGGGCCGGCCCGAGGTGGCCACTCACAGTGGGCTTGGCGAGCCCACTTCGGATGTGTGTCGGTTTATGTCCTCTCCCCCTGCCGCTGCAGCCGAGGTGGAGTCGCGGAGGAAGAGGAGTGTTGGTATGGCGATGCGCCACTCGCCCTATTCTCCGCGACTCTGACGGGGCCGCACCGTCAATTGATGCGGTGGTGGTGCGGCTGCGGGGGGAGAGGAGTGTCGGTATTGCGAGGCGCCGCTCTCCCTACCCTCCGCAGCTGAATCTTGGTTGCCGGTGGACACATAGACCAGATCCGCCGCTGGGGTCGGGAAGGCTGGTTCTTCTGAGTGCTAGGTTTTCCTGGCCCCATGGTCTTCGCGCATCGGACACGGGGGCGTCCGTTGCGCATGTGAAATTGGAGGCCGAAGAGGAGGGCGCGCCATGTGTTCTGGTGCGCCTTACCTGAGAAGGAGATGGGGGAGGAGTAGTCCTCTCCCTAGGAGAGGCCGCCATGGGGCGGCCAGCGCAGGTGGGGCCGCGGATGTGTGCGAAAGCGTTCCCGTGGCTCTGCCAATACTGCGACGAAGGTGGAACACCATGGGGTTTTAGTCGGTGCGAGTCCGACATAACGCGTCCTTGCCCCCGCGAGGCAGGTATGCGTAAGCAATTCCCCATGTAAAAAAGAAAGGTTAGGTTAGCGCTCTCCACTGCAGTTGGTAATCATTAAGCAAAGGAACAGTTTCTTCTAATTTATCAGCCTTTA